TGGGAAAGACTTCTGTTGGTACATGGTTATCGCAAGGTGCACAGGCTCCTGCACAAACCCACCGCTTATCAGTGTGCTGACTGGTGACTAGATGAGGCATTGTAGGGGGTAAGAGGAAGGAGAACTGCTGCTGCTCTGGCCAGCTTGTGTCTTGTAACACCTTGTTTCCATCTGCTTCTACCAGCCTGCAGACTGCTGCTGTATTGTGGGGGTAGCTCTTACACCTCCCTCCCGACTGGACCTGCCAGTAATGGCCCACAGAAGAGCTAGGGCAGAGGTTCTCAACCTTTATCTTTCAGAGCCCCCCCCCCCCCCAACATGATAGAGAAACTCCAGGGCCCACCTGTGCCACAATAACTGGTTTTCTGCATATAAAAGACATTAGAGGGTAGTAAGCAGGGCAATTGCCTGGGGCCCCATGCCACAGGGCCCCCATGAAGCTAAGTTACTCAGGCTTTGGCTTCAGCCACAGGTGGCAGGGCTCAGGACCCTGGACTTCAGCTTTCTGCCCTGGGGCCCAGGGAGTCTAATCCTATCCCTGCTTGGAGGACCCCCTGAAACCTGCTCACGGCCCCCCAGAGGGCCTCGGACCCCTGAATGAGAACCACTCAGCTAGGGGATACCAGCAGGATTAGAACTGCCAGTAGGAGAGGAGTGTCCCTGGGGGAAGGGAACAAGGAAGCTGCCCGCCATGTCCATAGGGAACAGGACATGTTGCAGAGCAGCAGTTGTGAAGAGAGGAACAGAATAAAACACTTATTGGGTATATACAGCTGAAATGACCCATTTCCTATTGTGACTTTTTCGTGGCTGGAGTTGCTACAGGGATCTTACGTGACACTGAGGGCTAGTTGACACTAGAAGTGCTACAGCAGTGCAGCTGCACCGATGTAGCTGCGCCACTGTAGCAGTCTGGTGAAGATGCTGTATGCCAATGAGAGAGCGAGCAGAAGAGTGCAAAGGGCTGGATTTTGAGGTGTCTAGTGAGAGAAATAGCATCAACATGAGACGTATTGAGTTTTTGCCATGTCGTCCCATTCTGTGCGTGTGCCAAGTGGTTTGAGTGGGCAGGCTGTGCAATTAGACATTCATGCATAGACTCAGGCTGAAAAGGTTGATAACCCTGTGGATCCATGGCCTTTTCCTCCATGCTGCTCCAGTCACCTGCACCTCCAGCTGCACAGCTTGCTCCCATCCTGTGCTCTCTTTGTGTGCCTCAGGTGGCTGCGTGCGTGTGACCTTTCCAAAGGAGTTAACTAGGCTTGTAGGACTAATTACTGCTGACTGTGTCTAGTGCCCTTACTCCTCCATTTATGGCATAATATTTGGGGCTGTGTACCACCTGCAGTAGGTGTTCTTATTCTTTCCCTTTCCTGCAGCCCACCTTTGGGTGGCGTGCTTCCAGATACCTACATGGTCGGAAGGGCCCAATGCTGGTTGGATGTTGGTATGGTATTAGTAGCTGGTGGTCTTTGGTCTGCCATTTTTAAGTTAAGTCAAACTCATCTGCCACCATCTGTGCTGCGTAATGGAAAGCACAAAACTTTGCCCTACCTCTTTTCAATCTATCTGCCTCATCTGTGTCATTCCTGACAGGTGTATGTATCCCCTAAAACAAGAAAAGGAGTACTTGTGGCATCTTAGAGACTAACACATTTATTTGAGCATAAGCTTCCGTGAGCTACAGCTCACTTCATTGGATGCGTTCAGTGGAAAATACAGTGGGGAGATTTATATACACAGAGAACATGAAACAATGGGTGTTACCATACACACTGTAAGGAGAGTGACCACTTAAGGTGAGCTAATACCAGCAGGAGAGCAGGGCGGGGGGGGGACCTTTTGTAGTGATAATCAAGGTGGGCCATTTCTAGCAGTTGACAAGAACATCTGAGGAACAGTTGGGGGTGGGAGGGGGAATAAACAAGGGGAAATAGTTTTACTTTTTGTAATGACCCATCCACTCCCAGTCTCTATTCAAGCCTAAGTTAATTGTATCCAGTTTGCAAATTTAATTCCAATTCAGCGGTCTCTCGTTGGAGTCTGTTTTTGAAGTTTTTTTGTTGAAGAATTGTCACTTTTAGGTCTGTAATCGAGTGACCAGAGAGATTGAAGTGTTCTACGACTGGTTTTTGAATGTTATAATTCTTGACGTCTGATTTGTGTCCATTTATTCTTTTACGCAGAGACTGTCCAGTTTGGCCAATGTACATGGCAGAGTGGCATTGCTGGCACATGATGGCATATATCACATTGGTGGATGTGCAGGTGAACGAGCCTCTGATAGTGTGGCTGATGCGATTAGGCCCTATGATGGTGTCCCCTGAATAGATATGTGGACACAGTTGGCAACGGGCTTTGTTGCAAGGATAGGTTCCTGTGTTAGTGTTTTTGTTGTGCGGTGTGTGGTTGCTGGTGAGTATTTGCTTCAGGTTGGGGGGCTGTCTGTAAGCAAGGACTGGCCTGTCTTCCAAAATCTGTGAGAATGATGGGTCGTCCTTCAGGATAGGTTGTAGATCCTTGATGATGCTTTGGAGAGGTTTTAGTTGGGGGCTGAAGGTGATGGCTAGTGGCGTTCTGTTATTTTCTTTGTTGGGCCTGTCCTGTAGTAGGTGACTTCTGGGTACTCTTCTGGCTCTGTCAGTCTGTTTCTTCACTTCAGCAGGTGAGTATTGTAGTTGAAAGAATGCTTGATAGAGATCTTGTAGGTGTTTGTCTCTGTCTGAGGGGTTGGAGCAAATGTGGTTGTATCGTAGAGCTTGGCTGTAGACAATGGATCATGTGGTGTGATCTGGGTGAAAGCTGGAGGCATGTAGGTAGGAATAGCGGTCAGTAGGTTTCCGGTATAGGGTGGTGTTTATGTGACCATCGCTTATTAGCACCATAGTGTCCAGGAAGTGGATCTCTTGTGTGGACTGGTCCAGGCTGAGGTTGATGGTGGGATGGAAATTGTTGAATTCCTGGTGGAATTCCTCAAGGGCTTCTTTGCCATGGGTCCAGATGATGAAGATGTCATCAATGTAGCGCAAGTAGAGTAGGGGCATTAGGGGATGAAAGCTGAGGAAGAGTTGTTGTCTCTGTTCTTGGTTTTCTTAGAGCAGTGATCTCCAACCTTTTTATACCCAAGATCCCTTTTTGAATTTAAGGGCTACCCAGGATCTACCCTGCCCCATCCCTGAGGCCACACCCCTTCCCCACAACCCCGCCCCACTCACTCCATCCCCCCTCTCCATCGCTCGCTCTCCCCCACCTTCACTCACTTCACCGGGTTGGGGTTCAGGAGGGTGTGCAAGCTCTGGGTTGGGGCCGAGGGGTTCACAGTGTGGGAGGGGGCTCTGGACTGAGCCTGGGGCAGGGGGTTGGGGTGCAGGAGGGGGTGGGGGTGCAAGCTCTGGGAAGGAGTTTGTATGCAGGACAGGGCTCTGGACTGGGGCAGAGTGTTGGGGGGCAGGAGGGGATGTGGGCTCTAGGAGGGAGTTTGGGTGCGGGAGGAGGCTCCGGGCTGGGGCAGAGTGTTAGGGTGCAGGAATGGGTGTGGGTGCTGGCTCTGGGAGGGGGGACAGGGCTGGGGGTTGGAGTGCGGTCTCCCTCTGGGCATCACTTATCTCCTGCGGTTCCTGGTTGCGGTGCAGGTTGGCTGCCACTAAGACAGGCTCCCTGCCTACCTCGGCCTCACACCACTCCAGGAAAGCGCCAATGCACCTTTGCGGCCCCTTTAGCAGGTGTGAGCGGCACATGGCTCTGCATGCTGCTCCTCTCTGCAATTGGCTGGAAATGGGGAGCTGTGGCCAACAGGAGCTGCGGGGGCAGTGCTTAAAGGCAGGAGCAGCATGAGGAGGGAGACCTCTGCCCCTGCGGGGTGGCGCTGGCAGCTTCCAGGAGCGGCGTGGGGCCGGGGCAGGCAGAGAGCCTGTCTTAGCGGCAGCCCCACTGCAAAGCCAGAGATCACAATTGACTGGTGACCACTAATCAAATACCAGCAGTTCTCTGCTTGTAAATATCCTACAATAGCACACCCCAGGGTGTTCATCAGAGAGGAAACTTCTCTACTACAAACTTCAGTTCCCAGAGTCCACTTGGCTGTCAAAAGTAGTGTGAAGAGGACTTGAAACCTAAGGAGAAATAACTTAACAGTGCCATTTCAATTACTTTTCCCATGCTTGTAATGACTGAGATAGTGGTCTCATGGGGCAAACCATGCTTTGTGTGCCATGGTTGTGAGGAAGGGAACCGGTCATGGGTCCAGCCCTCACATCTTTGAATGGGAACATTGCAAGCCTGTGTTTCATACTTCAAGGAGACAAGCTCTGAAAAGCAGTGACTGATGCCGGGAGTTGATATATCACCACCTTTCTCCTGAAGTGTAAACTTGAAAACAAATATCAGACTTTTTCAGAACAAGTTTCAACAAGATCTTAGTCATTAGCCACCTTTAAATGGGGGATATTGGTGGTAATGCTAGCCACGCCAGGACAGGAGAAGTCTGTTGTTCAAATAGACATAAGCATGTGTTGCACAAGAATAGTGTCCTGCACATTATAAGTAACTTGCTGCTACTGATGTGCCATCTTCTGAAATGCTTTACTACTTATATTGCAGTAGTAGCTGGCGGCCCCATTCAGGTTCTGTGCCCTGCTGTGCTCAGTGTTATAAACGCACAGTAAGAGAGTTCCTGCCCCTAACCGCTTACAGTCTTTTACAAATAATCATTTTGTTACTCTTAACTTTTGGGATCTTTTTTTTTTTCTGTCCCCTACCATAACTGTATTATTTGAATTTTAATGGAATCCCAAGTGTGTGCATAATAATTTTCTTAACACTTTGACTCTTATTGCAGGAGTACTGATAGGCCAATATACTCTTCTTTCCGATTTCTTTTTGATATTCACAACACCAAGGTTAAATTGTATGTCTCTGATTAATCCTCTTAATAAGTGACTACTGCAGAGAGAGGGATTTACACTGCAGTCAGGTATTTAATTTGTTTCATTTGTTTCTAGGGGCCCAGAGGATACCTGTTTTGAGTATGGTGTTTTCCCAGCTATCCTGAGTTTCCCTCTTGATTATCCTCTAAGTCCTCCGAAGATGAGGTTCACATGTGAGATGTTTCATCCAAACAGTAAGTTTGATTCAACAGGTGTTTGTTTTTTTTTAAAGACTTTATTTTAATACATAACTTTTTAAAGGGGCAACTGTTGTAGGAGGACATCAGGTGTTTCCACAAAGGCTGTTGTCTCTCATTTAACCCCAGATCTGGAGTGTGTGCTGGGAGCTCTCCTAACCAGTGGACAGTTTCATGTCTTTCTGGAACTGTCTTTTCTCCTAATCTAACTCTCTCTTATCATGCTTTCTTGGTCATGGTACAGCAAGGGTCAGGACTGAAAAGTGAGTCTGTCTTGCATGGGGATCATTGCAGGAATTCTTGCAGTTATGCTACATCTGAATTCTCTGATGGTGTATGCCTTGTGGTGTATGGCTAGAAAAACAATCTGAATCTGGGGTAGACTCTCTTCTGTGCTGTTCTGTAACTTAAATGTTGCTAATGTGAGGAATCTTTTTAAGGGAAGAAAAAGTAGCATTTGCTGCAAAAGACGGGGGTTTAATGAGATTCCTCATGTGACATTGCTGTGAGGCCAGGTGCCTCTGTTCAATATGTGGCACAGCTCAGATTCTTGGATGTGAATTTCAGCAGAGGTTTTTTTAGTCTTTTAGTGTAACTCCAATCTTTTTAACTGTTCACTGTATCACAACCAAACTGTTTTTATGGGACTCCTCTCTGCAGGTAGGGGTTTAAGAGTGTTCTACTGAATAATACTAATGCTTGTGTCCAAAAGCTCATATATTTTAAAAACTGCACCAAATGCTATTCCAGCACTCAATTCTCATTTTCTGAATAGGCCCATGGCGTTCTGCACAAAGCTATTGGTTACTGCTTTAATTAGTTATTAAAGCAACACAGAAAACATGTGTGAACCTTTTATTATGACTCAAATTATGTGCCTGGACCCATCCTCTGATTCATTAAAGTCTGACAATACTAGAGGGAAAACTCTGGTCGCACCTGCCGCGCATGTTCCCCACCCCTAGTACACAAGCTCTGGAATGTCAACCACTTTAAGTTCCGGCTGAGATTTAGGTACCTGACATGAAATATGGTTTAAACAAGCCATGGAATTTGTGCAGCTCCTGATCTTCACCTACTCTGCCCTTCCTGTACATTATGGTATATTATTCCGTCAGCAAGAGGGGTAGTTTAATCCACCCAGCTCCCATTGCCCTTGTCTCCGACTGATTGTCAATGTTCTTAGACCCTGCCTGTCACCATGGAAACTGATCTCCCAGTTGACTCCTGTACAGATGCACCTTTAATGTAATGTAAGGAAAGTTCTGCAGGGACTGAAGTTTTCAAGAAGCCTGGGTGATTTAGTTGTGTATATATATATATATAGGGCTAAAATTTTCTACACTGCTTTGAAAATCCAGCAAGTCAGCATAGCAGTGACCAGCAGAGGATGGAGTTCTTGGAGTGTCAGAGTATCTTGTGTCCAGTTGCAGGGAGGAGACTAGCAGAGGATTGTGGTGAGATCCACTCTTAATATCTCCATCTCTGTTCTGGAAGGAGTATGCTAATGAAACCTGCGGGTGAGAGTAATTTGGAACGGGTGGTGAGGACAGGGCAAAAGGCTGTAGGGAGGCTAGAAATATGGGCAGAAAATAACGAAGTGCGGTTCACTTTGGAAACTACGGGGTAACGATTCTCTGGAGGTACAGTAATCCATATTGCAGAGTCCCTGGGAGAGAGAAGCTTGGGCACTAGTAAAGCTGAAAAATGTTTGGCTCTAATTTGCTGCCTACTTTCACTGTAGAGTATTATTTTTTTCTCCTGTGCATGAGATCTGATTTTTACAACCTGCCTCTGTGACCTGGGCTACAATGATGGTAAAGTTAGTTTCTCCCTTCTTAGTTCAGGGAAGATAACAAAACACCCATAACTTGTCCTGTTGCCTTCTGAAGGGAAAGTGTCCCCTTGGGTTCAGGAGCAGCTGTGTGGAGGCAAGGGCTGAGCAAGTCTGGTCATCTCTGCACATAAATCATTGCTGGTCTGAGGAGCCCAAAGGGGCAAATGCATCATTTATAAAAAGCTTTTCATCTCCTCTGCTTCCTCTTCAGTTTACCCAGATGGGAGAGTTTGCATTTCCATTCTGCATGCTCCAGGGGATGACCCCATGGGGTACGAGAGCAGCGCTGAGCGGTGGAGCCCAGTGCAGAGCGTGGAGAAGATCCTTTTGTCAGTGGTCAGCATGTTAGCAGGTAAGGATTAGTGCCTCATCTGGAGTTGCTCAGTTAGGATAGCATTTCTGAAGCATGGGTAATGTCTTTACTTTGATATTTGTCTTTGTTGGGCAGTCAAAGGTCTCAGACCTTGTTCTGCAACAGCAAGATCTGTCAGTGCCATAACAGCCACCTACTGCTTTATTAATGTATCGGTACCCTCAAAATACCTGGACTAGATCAGCAAATTGGTGGCTCCAGGTTTGCATGCAACCTCACACTGCTTCTCTCCAGGCTAGTGGCACCGCCATGGAGATCTGTGAGGCCCAGTTACTGCTCTCTGCTATCGTGTGTGAAACCAGGGTTCAGTTTTTGGTTCTCACTCTGATAGGTCACCTAAGAAGTCAGCGTTTCAGGGACAACCCTGCAAGCCCTATAGCTAATGTAATAATATTTCACACAGATTTCTACCCTGGAGATAAGTTTCTAAAGTTTGGCTATCTAATAACTGGAGAAGATAAAAATGTGTCTCTTGAATAATTGGTACTGAGAGATAAAAATATAATTTAGGTGCTTAGATGCTGCTATGATGAAGGCTGGCTAAGAACTTAGAGAGCTATTCTGGATATATACACTCAGGGAAGAAATACTACCGTCGACCATAATCACAGCAATGACCATCAGGATGTAAAATCCAAGGTTTTAGGAACAGAAAACCTGAATGAACAGGACGCAAAGCACTCTACTTGTTCCCGTTTTTAACATCAAGACTGTTCCCAAATCAGCTCAATTACCAGTTATACATTAAACATCCTAAGGCTTAATACAGTGATGTGTAGGCCTCAAAAGGTTTGGGTTGTGCCACCATCTTACCCAGGCTTTCCAATGCTCCAATAGCTGCCTGGACTCTTCCATCCTTGTGACTTTGTTTCCCTTTTTCCCCTGCCACAAGACACACCTTTGAATATCCTTTGTGTAGCAGAGGTTCTGGAAACCTCTTTCCTGGACCCTGGCTGCTAGCAGATTCAAACTGTGTGCTCTGGAGTTGTGCCTACCAAAGACTGGAAACTGAAGGCAGCTGGGGCCTAGTGGAGAGGTTGCGAGAGGTATAGGGTCCCACAGTCTGATCCAGGAGTGGTGAGAAAGGTCTGGATGGTAACAGTCTTGGAAGAAGCTAGGTTTGGAGATTGGTGATCCTCGGGTTAGTGTTTCTGTGCTCTGAACTGGTCAAATCATCCGTAGTTGGATTAATTTGGATCTGAAGTTCACGTACAGTCACAAGAGACTTCATGAGCTTTATTCCCCTCTTGTCATGGAATGGCTCCAATTCCTTGTGATCAAACCATGAAAGCAAATTAGCAGATGCAGGAGGTAGAGGCTGGGAGCCAGGACTCCTGGGTTCTATTCTCAGTTGCCATTGTCTGTATGATCCTTAAGAAGTAATTATGCTCCCCCTTTCACCACTGTTCTTTATTAATTTTGGGTAAGTCTCTGTACCTTAATTTAGCTGACTGTAAAATGAGTTGCCAACCTCACAGGGGCTTAAATACTGTTTGCAAAGTTCTGAGATTCTTGAGGTTGAAGAAGTGAAGGTTGCTCTAGAAGTGAATGTTGTGTGTGTTTCTGTGGCACTCTTCCCCCAGGTGCAGGAGAGGACCTGCAGTGGTGGGGCTGAAGAGAAATCTGGGTTTTCATGAAACTCCAGAACCAGAAAGGGATTTGCCAGGTGGCATCCTGCAGTGTTAGAAACCTCCACTAATCTTCTGACTGCCTCATTGGTGACAAAATACTATCTTAAGTGCTGAGGTTCAGCTACTAAGAAAGCACCAATACCAATCACTTAAGCTTTTCCCCCCAAAAAACCTCTTGCTGAAACTCTCCTCTATTTTCTGTGAGATATGTGAAACAAGGGGTGGGATGGGCGCTGCACATATAGTGGGATTTCCTCTCCAAGGGCATCTACATTCCCCCTGGTGCGGATGGTATCCCAAGCACACAGGGGGATGAATGTGCAGAGGCAGCATTTGAAGAACCAAAGTCCTCGGTGAGTAACCTGCCTATCTGTTGTGTCTTTCTCATTTCAGAACCAAATGATGAAAGTGGAGCCAATGTTGATGCCTCCAAAATGTGGCGGGATGACAGAGAACAGTTTAACAAAATTGCCAAGCAGATTGTGCAGAAGTCCCTTGGGCTTTAAAAACAAAAAAGAAAAGAACGAAACTGCAGTGTTTTGTATTTCTCTCCAGCTGACAGAGAGCAATGCTTAGTGCTGATACCAAAAAGGCAGATTTTGCAAAATTGTTGGCCTAATTCTTCCTCTTTATTCTTTTTATTATTTCCCCCCCTTTAAAAAGCCTCTGGCTCAGACTAAAACATGTAGCAAGGGGGTACATTACTAGAATTCAAAAATGGAGTCAGTCCTATTGCAAAGGCTGTTCAATGCTACCTCATTCTGTTGTATTGAAAACATGGAGACTTTACAAAGCATGAATTTGAGCCTAGCACAGTCTTATACTCATTTTCTGCAATCCACTCCCTGGTCTCACCAAGAAAATGCACAAGTCATTGTGCATTGCCGAGCAGTGGAATCCTCCCCAGTCAGTGATTCAGAGCAAAGGTTAGTGAACAAATACTTAAGTAGCTAGGTGGTCGGCATATTAATGTTTGCAGGTATTCCAAGAGCTTGTTCCAGAGAAGAGGAGTTTTAGGTGACCTGCTACAACAATCAGCTTTACGTTTCTGCTTAACATCGTACCCAAAAATGTGTGCAGAAACAAAGTCATTTTTAATTGTGTGATCTCATTGGGAAATTGGAAACAGCAATGATATTCAACACCAGAGTTTACAAAAAGGTAGCTCAGTGAAAGAGGTTCTAAAACAAGAATACCTTCAGGTTGTTTTAATGTAGGTAGCGATTTTAAGTTTTTTAGCTAAGGCGTCTCAAATTCTAGATGGCCAGTTTCATCAGTGGCTGATGCTCGTGGACCCAGCTGTCTAGCCCAATATTTTTGTATCATGCTGTCAGTCTAAATCTAGCCTTTGAATCTGCTTTTGCAAAGAAGAGATCTCAATGACTGCTGTAATTACTCCCTAAAAATATTTATTGTAACTTCCAGTTTAAATCAGAGAGGTAGGTCAGGAAACCCAGTCTTTTCCTAAACATTTTGGTCAGCTGTTTTGTTAGGTACCTGCATCCCGAAGCGCAAGGTAGGTCATCTGTGCTCTGAAAATCGTGGAGCGGGGAAGAAAGGGGCTCAGCTAGTCCTGCTGGGAAACTAAAATCTTTCCAAGATATTGTGAGATGATCTGAAACCCTGTTCTGCCAATACTTGATAGAGTAGAGTACTGACTTGAACACTTGTCATGACAGACCAGGTCACCCACAGTTCAGGTAGGGAACGTGGATTTTGACGGTGATCCAGTTTAACCCTTACTTTAACAGGAGTTGCAATTTCTAGATGCTAACTGCTCTTGCATACCTAAGTCAGTGCTGGGGGAGATCCTTATCACTGATGCCATCCTCTAGAGGATGGAAGGATGCACACTTGCAACATTGTTCTACTGACCTCTGTATGGTATGCAGCAGGACAATGAAGAACTTTCAAACTCTACTCATTGTAGTGCCCAGACTGTAAAGCTTGTGTGGGGCACCTTCTAGTGTTCTTGCTTTACAACTGAACGTCTTGTCTAGGCCTGAATCTTCTGTAGGCATTTCAAGCAAATATGCTTATGCTGCAAGCAATAACATAAGCCTCTGTTGTGTGTGGAATCAAATATTGTTGACTATCTAAAACAGGCTAGGATAGGAGTATCTTTTTTTGAATGAAAAGAACCAAGAAATCAAATTATAGGAATAATTACATTATTGAGAGAGCTTTGCTGAAGTGACACATGTATATTGCTCTCATTTCAGCATCTGGTGGCTTGCAGTTCATATTGCATACACACATGTGCTGCATGTCACTCTAGGGCGTCGTCTTTATCCATCACTGAAGAGACTCTGGGCTGGGATAACTTGCTGGATTTACCTCCATTATAGGGAGTAATTCCTATAGGTTTGGAAGAGGACTAGTTTTGGGGGCAGGAAGATGATGGAGTAGTATTGTACCCAACTAGTATTTGCAAATGTACATGAAGATGTAGCTTTTGTATGTGGAGTGAAGGCATTTTATGCACTGGATAGATGCGGTGTAGCTTGTGGAGTACCATAGTCACATTAGGAAACAGCTTCCTAAAGGAGGGGGCTGTATGCCTGATTCCAGACAGATTGATCACAAACAAGAAAGGGACGTGGCAGAATTAGTCTTGTTTTAAAAACAAAATATTTTTATTCATGTGTATTCAAAGATTCATTATCCTTATTTTATGGTGGAACTTAATCTGTATATTGAAAATAAAGTGATATTTTCTTCTTTCACAAAAGCATAAGAATGAATTTCTCCTCGATTGTTTCTTTCAGTAGGTGAAAAGATAGATAGCCAGGAGAGTACAGCTTTGACTTGGGCCCCATGTGGGAAAAGATATAGTCCACTATCATTAAGCCCACAGGAGAGATATTTGAAGACACAAAGGGGCATAAGAATTGCCAGGTGGGCTCAGACCCAAGGTCCATCCCATCCAGTATCTTGTCTCTGACATTGAACAGCACAAGCTGTTTTAGAAGGTGGTGCAAGAATCCTGTCCTGCACTGGGCATGAAGGTCTCCTTCTGATCTCTAATAGCAACAGCTCAGCTTAGGCATGAGGTTTAGTGTCCATTCCAGGATTTATGTTTGCACTTACGACTATGGAAATGGGCAATTCGATGCTCATTTCACATTGACTTTCAGTGGGAATTGGGCATCCAACTTTGAAAAATCGCCACATCCCCCTGAATTTGTCCTCTCAAAAAGAAAATGGTATTTTTAGTGACATGGAACACACTGATTTCAAAGAAACTTGTTAGCATTGAAAGGCAGGGCAGATTTGCTACATCAAAATGGCTTAAATGATGACTAAAATTAGCAGTAAAACCACTTGATTTAAACCACCAATTTTAATAACTTCTATTTAGATTTTTAAAAGTTATTTCTCAGTGGTTGGTTTGAGAACTGAAACTTGCCTTGTTCGGGTAATGGGATCTGTTTGTTCTGATTTCTCATGTTTATGCTATGGCCAAAATAGGTGAATGTTATTTACTGTACTACACAGTTTATTTCTCAAAATGTTTAAACTTCATTTAAACATAACACAGCGCATTAGAATAGTTTTGTACTAGTTGCAAATGGTGAAAAATAAAACTTGTTGATTCAAATACTGTAGGTGAATCAAATTACTGCACAGCTGACACTCTTCATCCAGAAAGATCAGAGTACTTCACAAACTTGAGGCGTGCAAAGGGTCATTTGCCCATTGCCGAAATGCCTCACCTCTGATGTCACAGCCATTCTGTGCCAGCAACTCTGCACCTTGTAGACTTCTTACAGCTTAGGAACAGTTTATAGAATTCTATTTGATAAAGCTGCTGCTGTGATATTGGATGGTCTTCAATGAGAGGAGAAATCTTCTTTCCCTTTTAAAAAGAGATTCACGTTCACAAGTGCTGTAATACTAGCCCCTAGTAACAGTCCTGATCAATTTGCCTTTTTCAGTGTCTGAAACAATTCAATCGGAACTTGTTCTCTGGGGAGCGTCAGAACTGCAGGTATCGTACGGTGATCTATACATGCAAGTAACTTCTTACTTTTTAATAATTTTACTTCTCTCTTTGGTGGATTGTTTGCTTTAGGCTTTATTAGTTTAAAAGGATACTAGCAGCATCCTTTTTAAAGGTCCCCTCTCCTCTTTGGCAGAACACACACAGTGGGAAATGAGAAAAGGAGTACTTGTGGCACCTTAGAGACTAACCAATTTATTTGAGCATAAGCTTTCGTGAGCTACAGCTCACTTCATCGGATGGGGAATGAGAGGTTCTTTGAAAATACTGTTGTACTAAAAGGTGTTGGAACCACATTAAACAGACTCAGCTGGAGGGCAGAGCAGACCCGGGGGGAGAAGGGGTGGCGGAGAGAGGAGAGGGAATGGATTCTCACCAGTTTCTTTGAACAGTTCTGACTTCATAATCAATGTCATGAATTGAAGGCATATGCCTTTAAAATGAAGCAAATGTGCTCACTTTAGCTTATTCCCTGGGTAAAATCTCCACCAGTTGTAGAGTTTATCTTGTGACTTACCATACTTTCCTCTTCCCTTGCCAAAGAGCCCTAGCTCAGTAAGTGTGGAGGTGAGAAGAGACTACGCTGCATGGGAATCCAAAAATACAGGCATTGTTCATTGAGGTACCCAGGATTGGACATCTTGGCCCTTAAGGAAAGCATCTAAATAAGTGACCTGATTTTTCTGGGGCCCTGAGCATCCTTACCTTGCTCTGAGGCCAATGGGAGCTGCTGGCTTATTAATTTGAGCAGATAAATAGAGAGTTTAGGTTCCAAACTTTAGGCATCCAGCTTTGAATCTGGGGATGGGACCTTTTCATCAAGTCAGTGGAAGAGCTCGGGATTGAGTATCTGCCATAGCAGACCCATACCTTGGTGGTGTGAGCAATTTCCTAATCACTGTCTTTTCAAGTGCTGTCCATGGTACTGTTTAGATTGTAAGCTTTTTGAGGGAGAGACCATCTTACTAGGTGCCATAAGGTTTGCTTCAGTCTATCATTGCCTTCAGGAATCCCACAGGAACATCTAGCCAGCTGATGGGAGGTGCTGGTCTGGCTGCAGACACCAGGACTGAAGGCAAAACCTTCCCTTGCCCCTTTCCCCCGCCCTTTGGCCCACTGGTTAACCTGTTCTCTCTTTTTTTTTTTTTTTTTTTTTTTTAAGTACCCTTAGCTTGATTTATACACTTTTCCCTGCTACCTTCCCGGAGGCCAGCAGGCCTCCTGCTACCTTCCCGGAGGCCAGCAGGTCTGGTTAACCTAATAGAAATGCCTAGCTCAATAATAGAGCTGACGGTGTGCACACCAATATCCCCATTGGCCGACCCCCACCTCTGGGGCTGCTGCCCATCTGGCTCCTGTTTTGGCTCCTCCTCTCCTCCCTTCTAGTCCTCTCCTCTTCCCCCAGTGAGTGGTTAGAGAACCCTGCTCCTCTGCCCATCTCCCATGCTGGCTTCCCATGAGCCCAGAGCCAAGCAGGGCTCCCAGCCACTGCTGCAGGCACCGGATTTTCACAGCAGCAGGGCACCAGTACTGGCACCGGGATCCTCAGGGACCATAGGGTTGAGCTCACCATGCTCCAGGTTCTGGCTGGCATGAGAGGGCAGGGTGTGAGGGAGGGATGGGAAGGATTAGCTCTTCCCCTGAGGAAATAGGCTCCCAGAGCTTGGTGGGGGGAAGATCCACCAGGACATGTGACAAGCTAATGAGCCCTCCATATTCCATTTAATGGATCCACAAGTGTCACTGGGTTATAATAAACACCCCACACAGCTCCTTCCTGTATCTGAATCCTGCTTAGAATGGGTTCCCCATTGTATCCTACCTCCTCCTGTGGCCCCCAGCACCACCTGGGAAATCCTAAAGCACCCATTTGCCACCGGGTGCCCATCCACTCTCTTGATCAGTCAGTCGGTTCCCCAGCTCTCCCCTCTCCTTGATACCTTATCCCCTAATCTTCAGTGCTGGTGCCAGGATGATCCATCACCCTCTAGATGAACCCCTCTGCCCCACTAGCTTGACACTGGGTGGGGTTCCAGACACAGCTTTGGCCTGGCTCTTACCATGTAGTTGGTAACCACACACCACACAACAGAACCACTAACCCAGGAACCTATCCTGGCAACAAAGCCTGTTGCCAACTGTGTCCACATATCTATTCAGGGGACACCATCATAGGGCCTAATCACATCTGCCACACTATCAGAGGCTCCTTCACCTGCACATCTACCAATGTGACATATGCCATCATGTGCCAGCAATGCCCCTCTGCCATGTACATTGGCCAAACTGGACAGTCTCTACGTAAAAGAATAAATGGACACAAATCAGACGTCAAGAATTATAACATTCAAAAACCAGTTGGAGAACACTTCAATCTCTTTGGTCACTCAATTACAGACCTAAAAGTGGCAATACTTCAACAAAAAAACTTCAAAAACAGACTCCAAGGAGAGACTGCTGAATTGGAATTAATTTGCAAACTGGATACAATTAATTTAGGCTTGAATAAAGACTGGGAGTGGATGTGTCGTTACACAGAGTAAAACTATTTCCCCATGTTTATTTCCCCCCCTACTGTTCCTCACATGTTCTGTCAACTGCTGGAAATGGCCCACCTTGATTATCACTACAAAAGGTTTTTTGTTTGGTTTGTTTTATTCTCTCCTGCTGGTAATAGCTCATCTTAACTGATCATTCTTGTCACAGTGTGTGTATGGTAACACCCATTGTTTCATGTTCTCTGTGGATATAAAAGCTCCCCACTGTATTTTCCACTGCATGCATCCGATGAAGTGAGCTGTAGCTCACGAAAGCTTATGCTCAGATAAATTTGTTAGTCTCTAAGGTGCCACAAATACTCCTTTTCTTTTTGTGGATACAGATTAACACGGCTGCTACTCTGAAACCTTCTATTATCTAGAGAGTCTTTGGTATAGTGTGAGAATAGAAATATTCCTGCATTCCAGTGCAATTTTGTCAGGACCTCTTGCTGAATTGGCAATATTGATTAGGATCTAGGGACTAGATCCTCAGCTGGTGTAAACTGGCAAAGCTCCTTTGATCTCCACTGTGTGATGGAGCAGAATATTTGAGATACTGTATGTGATTATATCATTAAAGTCGATAGTGCAGTGTACTGATAGCAGGGCGCAAGGTAAGGTTGCTTATGCAACACTTTTGAGTACTTATCTGTGCAACCTGAATGTTTTCTTAATGTCGTTTTTGTAGCCTTGTTTGAAAGGGAAAACAAATCCACGATCAGTCACTATTTGGCTAGACATGGTCACTGTACCCTCCACACACGCAATGTACTGTCAGCATCAGATGCTCCACTATGCACCTTTGAAGGTTTTGTTCAATTCACACTTTGACAACGTGCTGTGGCGGAGGCACCTTCGCAGCTGTTAGCCAAACATGTGCTGCACAGCCTCCCTGTGCTTGAAACAAGTTGCTTTAACAATCACGCAACAGATACTGCACATAGAACCATAGGGCTGGAAGGAGCCTCAAGAGGGCGTCTAGTCCAGTCCCCTGCACTCCTGGCAGGACTAAGTATTATCTAGACCAGGGGTTCTCAACTATTTCTTTCTGAGCCCCCCCCCCCCCCCCCCCCCCAACGCTATAAAAACTCCATGGCCCACCTCTGCCACAATAACTGGTTTTCTGCATATAAAAGCTGGGGCCTGTGTTAGGGGATACAAGCAGGGTCCATGCCACAGGGGCCCCCATGAAGCTAC